TAAGAGCATAAAATGAATGTACATGCCTCTATCACAAGATGGTGCTAGTCTTTCTCAACAGCCATCAGCATAAACATAGTGCAGGATGAAATTAGATACATTTTACTCTAAAAATAAGCAAGGTTTTAATCATCTAATTATATCAAATCATTGAATAAATGACGCACTGGGACAAGTGTAAAACAGGAAATCTCTAAATGTCAAACCATGAATAATGTATGGTGAAAAACAGATTTACTACATGGTTACAATCACTGCATCATCAAAACGGGTAATTACAAATTAGTGTTAGCTGGGTCACTGATTACAAAACAATGCAATCAGTGAAATGGAAAAAAAAAATATTTATCTTTTAAATGATTTAAAACACTCACTGTCTGCAATAGAAAACTTTAAAATGAGCGTAGATCGAATATCATTGTTTCATCAAATATTTATGACACTTATACGATTATATGATCTTAAGGTTTGCTGCTATAGCTGAGTTCTCCGAGTGCAATAGCGGCTGCATAGATGATGAGTAGTTATTAGTGAGTGGTATTATACAAAGTGGACCGTCATACCTGTAAATATTCCCTCCACAAGGCAGCAGAACCCTTTAAGGCTTCTTACACTAATAGTTGCCCTTAATGAGTCATTTGGTCTTCTTAATGAGAAAGTTTCTAATGTAATGACTGTGCATATCAAGATTCAAGAAGTAGCACACTGAAATTACTTTCCTAAATTGTTGTACCTGCTGCAGATTAGGAGTGGGAGTTATGGCAAAAAATAAAAATGTGATCCTTAGATTCGCAATCACAAGAAGCATCTAAAGCCATCTGCTGCTTCTGAGAATTCACTAGGTCATGGTAACTAATTTTGAAGAACGACATATTGCCATAGAGATATACTGTGATAAATGGTAATACTGTATTAAAACCACTTTATGCCACAAACACAACTTTTTTTTAAGTAGACAGTAGAATTAAAGGTGCATTGTGTAACTTTTGCAGTGGAGGGTCAGTCAAATGCTTTTTTCCCATGGAGATGTTATTACTTTGCCTGTAATGATTCATAGTACAATATTAAACCTTTCTATCTTCATGGAGAACAAACCAGACCAAGTTACAGGTCAGATCTGTGAAGAGGCAACCCCACTCACAGTCAGAATGCCTTTTTATTTGTATATTTGAGCTATAAAAAAACGAGAACTTCTCACATTAATTACCTGACACGAGTGCGTTGGAGGAGTGAATTTCAATTATTTTTCATTTATTTTTCTATGATGATGATGACGATGTTAATGATGACAATGATGATGATGACAATGATGATGATGACAATGATGATGGCGACAATGATGATGACGACAGTGACAATGACGACAGCGACGATGACAACAACGATGATGACAACAACGATGACGACAACGACCATGACAACAACGATGACGACAACAACCATGACGACAACAATGATGACGACAACAACGATGACGACAGCGACGATGACAACAACAACGACAATGACAACGACGATGACGACAACGACGATGACAACAACGATGACGACAACAACGATGACGACAACAATGATGACAACGACAATGACAACGACGATGACGACAACGACGATGACAACAATGATGACGAAAACAACGATGACGACAACAATGATGACAACAACGACAATGACAACGACGATGACGACAACAACGATGACAACAACAACGATGACAACAACGATGATGACAACAACAATGATGACAACAACGACAATGACAACGATGATGACGACAACGACGATGACATCGACGATGATGACAACGATGATGACGACAATGACAATGACAACAACAATGATGACCACAACAACGATGACAACAACAAAGATGACAACGATGACGATGACGACAGCGACGATGATGACAGCGATGATGACAACAGCGACGATGACAGCAACGACAATGATGACAACGATGATGGCGATGATGACAATGAAAAAGATGATGACAACGATGATGACGATAATGACAATGATGATGACACTGTATGTTGATTGCCTTTGTATTTTGAATTATGTTGTTTTGGGTACACTGTTCCTTTACGACCTGACACTCTTGGGTGCTTGCCACACCCTATTTAAGATGGCCACATGATGAAGGCCTAGTGCCGAAACGTTGTATGTCCTAATAAACCTCACATTTTGCAAGCAAGACAGTATGCAGGATTTTTCTCTATATTTTTGAGCTATAAAACTACATTAAATCGAATAAATGTAAGGTAAAGCTGCTTAACGTCATACAGTGAAACATGCAATGACATGTCTATAGAAACAAGCGGCTGATGGATCCCCAACCAAAAATGTAAATAGCACACCTTTAAATCAATATAGTAACTATCATGACAACCAGGTCTAGAATTCATACTAACCTGTGACTGGTTTAACCTTACTGTCACTCACTTATAGACACACAAGAATCACTATATTACCGAAATAGCACTAAGGATACTGTATCATGCACACTATACTTTAAGAGATGAGGTCAGGGATAAAAATATTTCAAGGTATAAGAAGCTAACCACCATTTCATCATGTCAATAACTGAAAGGTTGCCTCCTGTTATACTTTTAGAGGTCATATATATTTCATTACATACATTACATTTCATCTGCCTATGTATTATTAATGCTACAAGCTAAGAAAGGACCTGAAGACATCGGAGTTGGACTGCTCTGGTGCTTGCTATTACTGTAAGAGATGCACATCACAGTATTTGAAGTTTGAATCCATAGGGAAGATCTTTTTACACACTTGTATTCAACGGAGGCAACTGCAAGGTTCTGAATTACGCAAAATTTACTCTTGTGAGATGTTGTGTGCTGTTTCTTATCAAAACCATACCTGGCATTGTGTTTTGTTTTATTCACACACGCTTGAGTAATCCATTTATTAGTCTGTCTACATCTCAAAACACAAAATGATCTGTTTCAGTGTGTGAAGTCATGCAGTGATAGTTTTGAAGTTAACAACTACCTTTTACCTTTAGTTCAGTTGAAACCGGCACATTCAGGTCTGAAATTATCCCAATGATTCTAGTGAAGTGTAAAAACACAGTGGAGCACTTTCAGTATTACCATATGTCATCACAAGGGGAAACAGAGTGCTTTCCGTTTGAGAGAACTCAGCCTAAATGTGCAGGATTTGTGTGTTAAACATGTGTGAATGAAACAAAGCACGACTCCAGGTCTGTCCAGGACACAACTTTATAACAGATCAGAAAACAGTGTAAAATAGGTGTAAAATAGGTTGGTATACACATGTTTTTTATTTTCTTATCATTTAGAGATTTTTTGTCCAATCCACTGAAAGCAAATCATATAGCTGTCAAACCTGGACATCTCTTGATAGAGGTGCATCGCTTTGGTGAACCCTATAGCGCTTCTGTCAGTTCCCTATAGGATCTGGGCGGACTCCTGCCTGTCACTGACCAGCCCTGCTTCTGATCAGCTACAGGGAAAGACACAACATCCAGACTCAGGTCTGTAATAAGAGACAGGTGCGCTAAACACTCTGCCATACGTATACATTCCGAGGTGGTTGTCTATGCAAAGTATCGAATGTGCAAGAGTAAGGCAATACTTCAACAACAACTGATAATAAAAATAAGAATGGTTTGAGTTTATACATTTCTAAATTCTCAAAGTGCCTCACATTGCATTATTCATTCGCCCCATAAGCTTCTTCTGATGCCTCTAGGCTCTAAACACTGACTCACCAATATTAGGTCAGTTATTTGTGTAACTGGTATCTGAAAAATGTTCTCACTATATTAGCCAGTGAAAACAAAATATGAACTTTTAATCCCAAAAACAACTTTAGGTGGAAAAAGTATGTCTATTTTTGTCCTCAGTACAGTAACACTTAAAGGTGCATTGTGTAACTTTTCTGGTGGAGGGTCTATATATATATATATATATATATATATATATATATATATATATATATATACACACATATATATATATACTTTTTTTTTTTTGTTTGTTTGGAATGTCCTGGTATGGCATTAAACATATCCATCTTGTATTAACTCAATAACATAGGTTTTCATTTACCTAAAAACTTGCATTCTTACCATGAGTGGACTCACCTCTCCACAGATCTGACATGTAACTTGGCCTGACCTCACCTGCTGTCTCCATAGAGACAGAAATAGAGGTAGAGATAGAGATAAATAAGTGTAATGCCATCCTGTGGAAAGTTCCAAGTAATATCTCCATGGAGAAAAGTAGGTAACGGACCTCTCACCAGAAAAGTTACGCAATGCACCTCAAATCCCTCTGTATTATAGTACCCAGAGCAGAAGCCCTTATGTGTTGCGTCTCATTGGGTCATTGAAACTACTTTGTCACAATTAAAACAAAGTATAAAACTTCTGAAGCAGAAAACCCTTACAGTTGCTCTTTTAAACTCAATTAAAATGTGACCAATTGGCCATGGTAATGTACAGTGATGGGAAAAATACTATAAAAATGTAGTTAGAGAAAAACGAATACCAAACATTTCGTAACGTATTTCATTACATGGACCAGTCAGAATACTGTATTCTGAATACTTGGTATACTTTTACACCGAGTTACATTATATTATAAAGTAAAAAACATAACGTATATTATTTGTTATGCATTCATTTATGTCTAATTAGAGATGAAAAATCACACATGTGCACAGTACTCAAAATGAGTATTCATAATACATATTTTCGGTATATGTATTCAATTATTTCCCAACACTGGTAATGCTATAGTTAAAGTGATGTACTGCAAACACACCTTCTGACCCTGACTATCTTTTCATCATAGTATCTGTAAACAGTAATTAGGATATTATCAGGCAGCGAGATAGCTGCTGATGTGATAATCATAAGCGGTGTATTCCCTAAAAGTGGTTCAAGAAAAGAACAGAGGTACACAACATTTTCAAGAGGTGGAATTATAATAAGGGACATTACACAACTGTTGGAGCTTTACAAATAGCATTACATTTTATTAATATATTTTCATAAAACAAGTTTAAGACTGTATCAAAAACTCAGTAAAAACATTAGATTTCAACCATTTTTTGTGGTGATATCAGATATGAAATGTACAGAATTCACACAGGCTTGCAGTTACTCACCATCATTTTGCGATCATGTTTTTTCTATGATGGGCAAGTTAACTCTTTTGTACCGTCACAAATTATATAAGTGTAATCATAAATCTAGATTAAAAAATAAAATCATTTCCCACTCTGTCCCCTTTACCCCTCAACTAGTTTTATTGGTTAAACACTAAAGTGAGTTTGTTTTTTTCCACAGGCACACAATTATGTACAACCTTTTGTTCCCATGCCTCTGAACTGGTCCTGCCTTAGACATCATTACAGAGAAACTAAAACGTTCAACTGTGGATCTGCCAGAGGGAGAGTAGCAAATTCAGATTTTTTTTTTTTAAGACAACTCGTAGTTTTTACATTTTTAGAGCAAAATTTTATAGAGAATATTTCAGACCATTTATTCCGTAACTATTCCACAAACCACCAAGTTACCATGTAGTTGAGGGCCTTTGGGCTAAGAGACAGTTTTTTGGCTCAGTTGTATTTCACTGTCTTTGATTCTAATGGCTAAAATTAAAAGCACTCAACATTTGTACAATATAAAATTGTAATAATCAAATTTTTTTGTTTAAGAGTGACATGTTTCAATTTAATACTGATTTGTTCTTAACAGTACAGCTACTTGATTGAATTTACATCTTCTGCCTCTGGAATCCACGTCACTGACCATGTTGCCAGGTCTGACCCTGTGTTAACCACTGGATTCCACTGGCCTCGAAATCCTCGATCTGGCAACAGTGATCAAAAGACATCACCTTGGCAACAGCAACCACACAGGCAGGTCCAGAGGCACACGCACGGAGAAATAAAAGAAATACAAGTGTCTTGTAACTTAATTAGGCTACGGCGATGACAGACGTGACTAGTCCCATGTAATGTCCTCTTTGATGATGTAGTTGTAGTCATGTGATAAGGGTAGAGATTGTAAAACATCTTTTTGGACTACCACTTGTCTCAGTCAGACATAGTGCAAGGTTTAGCAAGAATTTGCATAAGTGCAAGGGTTGCATGTTATTATCAAGAGGGACCAAAGGAAACAATAGAAATCAAGTCAAAGTCAATGATTGTGGGAAGTGGTTCATGCGTTCAGTTCAGCATTTGTCATTCATACCCCTCTAGTAATAACAGGCGCAAAATCTTAGTAAACCGAGCAGAGTACTGATAAGAGTGATATAAACTCAGATTAACACGGTGATGGAGAGCCAGAGTCTGTTGTCATGGTGACATCTGTTCAAAGGCCCCACGGGCTTCAGTCTTTCCTGCTTCATTATTATTTTCTATACAATAGAAATAGTACATCATTGAAGATAAAATCGACTCTTCTTGGCAAAATCAGACAAAAAGTATATGCAAGTCAAAAGCTGTTTTGAAGAACAAAAAGTGATGTTGAATTACAAAGGTTTTTGATCCATTTTCTCTGTGCTAGTTGTAGAGAATATAGTCTTATTCTTTATGGTCTAACATGTTTTTGCCTGCTTCTCTACAAAGTCCAAGCGTTTGATTGAGCACATGTGAAATGACTCCAGTGTTGAAATGACTCCCGTATTGCACCTTGTGTGACAGGGGTAAGAGTGTCCGTTAGGGAGGCACATAGGGCGGGGGTGACCTGTACGACGTCATGTTCTTAGGCCGAGAGCCTTTGCCCTCAATGGGGACAGTGAAGGGGGGTGGAGGTTGGTACGGAGGTGCGTTTGGATCATCATCCTGATAAATGGAGTATTCCCCGAGTAGATCTAGATCCTGGCTCAGGAGGGTGCTGTGGGGCCCAGCTATGTTTGGATACTCAGGCGGGGGCAGTGGTGGCTTCTCTTCCTGAAGAATCAGGGGGATACTAGAAGATGGAGGCGACTTGGAATCATCCAACTCATCTGCAAATATTATGGGAACACCTTTTTTAATAAACGTGGCTTGCTCCTCTATAGTCATCTTGCCTTTGCGCTTCTTTTTGTAGCAGACCATGGTAATGATCCCTGCTATAAGCAGCAGGGCTGCCACTACCACAGCAGGAATGACAGTATGTAGATAGACATCATCTCCACTGCTCACTCGCCCTGCACCCGGTGTGGGTGCCACTGTGGGCACGGGAGGCAGGGGGATCTCCGCTGGAGGAATGAATGAATAGGTTTGGCATTTATTGGTCCCTCGAACAGAGATGTTAATGGGCTTAAACTCAGGCTCCATAGCTTTGATAAAGGCCATTTTGGGAGTGCCTTGATGGTCTGAGATCCTGTTGCTCAGAACTGTGATCTGGTCTTTAGGACAGCTGTTCTGACTGAGGCTGTTATTGGTCCACTCCACCACAATGGAGCCATGAGTGATATTTCTTAGAGTCACTGTGCTGCTGTTGCGATCGCCAAGAGCATAAGCCAACTTTTTAGTCAGTAAAATTTTCTTATGAACATCATCGGAGAGGGTTTTAGGATCACCATGGAACCGAGCAGCAAATATGGCGGTTGGTTTGTCATTAGATGCCCACTTGTTAACCTGTACTTCAAAGGCATCCATGATACTCTTTCCCCCCTTATCTGTAGCCAACATGAAATACTCATGCTTGCCCGCATGCTGTGCCTCTGGGAGTCCATACAGCAGCTGGATTGTACTATTGAACTGTATCCAGGAGGTCTCACTCACAGCTTCCTTGGGTGTCCTCTTCAAGGTTAAACGCAATTTATCTGCGGTACCATCTTCAATGTCATAAAACGTATCAGTTGGGATTTTGACCTCAAAGTAGGTACCAACCCAAGCGTTAACCTGGTCTATGGGGTTACGGATCTCTGGACTTCTGTTTTCTGGGGGCGTAGGCTGGGTTGTTGTAGTACGCTTAGGTGTTTTGACTGTGGTCGACTTGGGCCCTCTTGGCGCAGGTGTAGAAGATTTGGGCTTCTTGGGTGGCTTCTTTGTAGTTCCCGTCTTGGGTCTTTTGGTTGTACTTGGTAAAGTTGGGGAAGCAGTAGCCTCCACAATTGTAGGACGTGTCATGGTGGGCAGGACTGAGATGGTACTTGTGGATCCTAAGACTCTAGTAGGCTGAGGTGGCCCAAAGACAGGTGTGTGTGCGATCTGATCCCTGACTCTCATAGTTGGCTTCACTGGGAGGGGCAGAGGGCCTCTCACAGGGGGAGCAGAGATGTCAGTTGCTGAAGCGATGACAGGTGAAGTTGGGGTGGGGATAACACGTACTGGAGGGTCAGGGTGCGTGGTTGGTGGTAACAAGGAGGGCACCGGTGTTGGAGTATTGTATAGTTGTCGTCTCACTCTTTTTATATTATGTGGTTTCTTGTTGACTATGTGCCAACCCACAACAGGAAAGCCAAGTTTCGCAGACATTGTCCCGTCCTTTGCCAAATCTTGGACGCTGCTAATATCAGGAATTCTGCTCTGGTCTAATGCACATCCCAGTTTCCACGACACTAGTGCGCCATTCTCCACCACCTTTTTTGCATTTCCTGGTCCAGCCATGAAAGCAGACATGTCAAATAGCCGATTGTTGACAACAGGAACCACCCTCATGTGCTCAATGGGAACATGGGAAAATTTCCTCATGATGCTAAGTAAAGTGACTCTCTGTTTGGTGGCCATTTTAGTCAGGTCAGCGTCCAGGATGACGGTGAGGACGGTGACGGGCTCCTCAGGGCCACAGGTGAATGGCTGAACACCACTGGTCTCACTTTGGACAGTCAGGAGGGCCTGCTCGCTGTCTGCCCGCTCCTCTGGATAGACCTCAATAGAAAATACTGTACTTGGAGAAACCTCAGATCCAGACTTATCAGGTGAACCGTCTTCTGAAACCGAGATGTGATAGATGCCTTTATCCTGCTCCAGAGCCAAGCCTCGCAGAGTGCAGCTCTCTCTGTCCCATAATAGCCAGGAGGGTAGGCTCTCTTTCCCCATTTCTGTGACCTAGAAAATAAAGGAAACACACATCAGAATTCAGGAAAAAAAATCGTAAGCCCTTCTGAAGTATTTAAGATTGTTTTTTAAAAAGTGTACAGGAACAGCAAAGTATGTTAGATTTGCTTGCTCACTTTACTCTTACCCTTTACCCTATTTGTCTTATTTCTGTTCAGTGACAATGGATAGTCCCCTCTCAGTCAAAAATGCTAGGCTAAATAGGTGCTGTACATATTTTAAAACCTAGATTACGGTTTCAGTTTCATCATAATTTATGTATACGTTTTATTGTACTTAGGAGGACAGTAAAGCCATTTGCTGCCTCTGAAAGATGATTGGTTGAATCTGCCTGTCACTCAGACTGACAGAGGTTCACCAATGAGAGGGATGGGAGAAAGGTTCATGCAAGCTGTGTTTGAGCACAGTACTGCATTAAAATTAGAAATATTGAATCACAATACAGGCATATAAATAAAATAGAATATTGTCACAGAGATCGCCATATCACTCAGCCCTATTTTTAACTCATCATAAACTGTATCCAACAAGGGTCACACCAAGTTCATGATCATAATTCTAATCTTTCTAAATCCTTCCAGTTTTCAGATTCACTTGGCACATGACTGTAAGGACTCGCATGCCTCTGCACTTCCTTCACTTCTCCAACTCGGTTCAATTCATCAAGTTTATCCAAATATTCAACAGGAAGTATAGTCCTGTTCATAATAACTATGAGTCATCAGTCTTCATTGAGTCCTATGACAGGATATCATAGTGCATTACCCCACAGCCAATAATCATCTCGCCTCATTCAGAAGTCTGACTGGAACAAACCAGAGCAGTCACTTTCAATCCTGGCTGACGCAGTAATCAGAACAAGCAGATAAATACTATGCACCTGACATTTACACTGGGGCAGGATGTGGGCAGGATGTGTTCTATAGATGTGAATTTAGGCTATACCTACAATAAACAACTTCAGACTTGAGATTCTAAATATTGTATACTCTAGATGTTTCAGGAATGCAAATGTTATCATTAAACTAATACCTTTTTTTTTTATAGCTTCAATCAAATAGAAAAACTGGTACAATAAATATGATATATTTACGGGCGAGCAGATTGTAAGATGCTATGTTTATCCCTACAACTGTTGTGAATCCATCTTTCATCCATCATGTATTTACCAGATTTTTTAAATTTAGAGATATAATTTACTATAATTTCTTATACCTTATACCTATAACAGTACCTGTGTTGTTTTTATTCCTTCACATAAGTCATATGAGTATTCTGCCTGAAGCAGTCAAGCATATGTCAACATATGACAACTCTCCACTGTAAAAAGTCAAAATGATGGAAATAGAACAGGCCATCTTCAGCTGTAATCCTTCAGTGTAACATCTTACTTACCAGACTGCTACATGAAATGTTGTAATAACATATTTTAGTAGCCATAAATGTGTTCTTTTTAGCCATATGTAAACCTATATATTTTTGAGATTTTAGATTTACCATATACTTAATACTGAAAAATATTTTTTATGTGGACAGTACTTACGTGGACATGACAGCTTCCATTGTCTTGTCTCAGTGGCACCTTGAGCTGGAACACCTGTCCTGCGATGGCGGAAGAGTCAGGAATGCCAGAAGGCGCACCCATCTTTGCAGTAGACTCAGGGAGGGCCGAAGAGGGACTGTCTCCGACAGAGGACAGTGCATTCTGAAGCCCATTCAGCACTGATGACTGCATGGATGCCTCTAGCTCCAGAGACAGGGCCTCCACCAAGGTCTGCTGATGGTCATGGTCTGTGCACTGGGCCATGTTCAGTACAAGTCCTATTAGCAAGAGAATAGTCCTCAGTAGAACTATCATGCTCCTGGCCACCACTCCACACCTCATCTCGCCGTGTTTATAGTGCATAGTAGTAGGCCTTCGGGGCTGCCCGACAGATGTTTCACAACTGAAGAGGCCTTATGCACTCAGGTCAGTTCAGAAGCACAGTCAGCTTGTCTAATAGTGACACAGGTGAAGACTTCTCTGGTGTCCTCTGTGATCCATAAAGAGGTTTTCAGGCAGTCTAGTGAATAGCCATGTCCACTGTCTAGAAAGGAGAAGAGAAAACTAGAATTAAAACAAGATCTAACACTTGCTGTCAAACATCATGGCTAGAAGAGACAACATCGTGCGCATTAATGTCACAATAAATCAACCTTTGCAGACAGTGTGATCACTGGTTCACTTCTATCACCGCACTTTCACTTAATAGCAAATCTCATGAGATGCGAGAGTGACAAAGGTTGTTTGTCTTGGTTGTAAGTTTTAATTAGGTGCCCTAGGGGGTGGAATTAGAGTCTCCATTGTACTGACCTAGCCAACCCCAATCCTGTAGCACTCAGGAATGGGCAGAGGGGGGGGTCAGCCAAGTGCCTGGAATCCTAATGCCTGAGCTGCACCAGTCGCTCATGTCAATACTATTGCTTTGTTTTAAAATGCTACTATCGAGGAGAGGCTGAATTGGTAGTGTATGATTTGTGAATGAATGGTTGGGCCATTATTGACTATGGTCCACCTAGACAAGTTATACCTCATTTGAAAGCTTGGACTCTCCACAGTTCTATCACTGAATTAATTTCACAAATGAAAATCCAGCTGAGAAACTAACAAGCATCAGTGTTAAGCAGAGCTATTTCCCAGTTAGAGCGACACAATTGTTTAACCCATAAATATTTATGAAATATACAGTCTAGAATCCAAGAATATATTGAGCAGTGTTAAGTGAGGGCCATCCCAGAAAGTAACTAAAGAGTCAGACACTACAGGTTTTTGTCTTATCTATAGTTTTTATTAGTGAGTTAACTTGGTGATAATTTGATCAGTTTTCTCTGAGTGCAATTAAAAATCATGATTCACCACTTGGGCAAAAAATCAAATGTTGTTTATTAGGATTGACTGACTCAGAAATGTGCATTGTCTGTGATCAGTGAATCATTCTACATTACACAATAGTTTTTCAAACTTGTCTGGAAAAAAAGGCTTCCCTTTAGGAATGACAGTAGTAGATCAGCTGCCTCCTAATGCACGAATTTTTGCCTTGATTGATTTAGTGCAGATGATCTTCCTGACGCCCTGTTTATGGGGGTAGAACTGGCAGAAAAAGCACACTTTTAATAACTTGTGGCTGCATTTTACAAGGCTTTTTCTCAGTTGTATAGAGACAATACATCTGTAATCTGACACTTGTCCCACCTTTTTAGTCTTGCCTAAACCTGGGCCGTGTCCAGACTTGTACTTCACTGGAAGTAGACGAGACAGGCAACTCTAACTAGGCAAACTGCACATGCTAAGAAAACAAAAGTATATTAAATAAATAATTTAACACTGAAATGATGTAAATGTATAATACAATATTTAATGTCCCTAGAATTGAATGATCCTGTGATGTATTTTTCTGGTTTTGGTTTGCAATCTTTCAATATAATAACCTTATGACATGAAGCCTTTTGAACCAATGCAATGATTGCAATGTGATAAATTACCCCTTGGTATTTGTTATTGTTACTATTTTGTTTCTTATGGATAGGCAAAGTAATTACAGAGAAATTAACCCTAAGCAATGCACACACATACATTTTGATACTTCAACAACAAATACTATAGACAATGTTACACTATGAGCTCTTAGAATGTTGTGATGAGTGTAACTTATTACTTGTGGATAATAACATACTGAGTAGGAGCAGCTCAGAGTATCCCTCTTATCTGTAGCTGTTCTGAAAGTTGGGAGTTGAGCCCTATAAACATTATCTCAGATACCTCACACAGTGTAGTCCAGGCCGACTGAACTGACATACCACATCCAGCAGCAGTCTCCTGACACTGCCTGAGCTGAATAACAAACATTTTCACAGGACAAGATTCATACTTTACATGTAGCCTACCTATTGAACTGCTTTCTACACTAAGTTGAATGTGTTGAATAAACACACCTATTGTTCAAACTGTAATTAAATATGAGATCACAGAGCTAGGCAAAATCTACCAAAACAGCACAGTAAAACATGCTAAAGGACTAAACAGTAATTAAAACATAATGCAGCACTGTTACATTAGTAATCAGTGGACTTCCTTTCAACAAACCTGTGTGTATTATTAGGCCTATCTAAAGGCGGCCAGGCACTACACATGACAAAAATGAAAAGATTACAAAAGGACTCTAAAGAAATAAACATTTCCTGTGTTGATATTAAAATTTAACTCTATTACTTATTTTGTTATTATAGTCTTTTATCATCAGTGATCATTCAGTGACCACACCATGCGTGCTGTCCCCTCACACTGACAAAAGTTAAGAAAGCTGGTCTAATAACCTATTATAACCGTACCCTGACCTTATCAAATTTACAAATTAGAAGAACAAAACGAATCATACAACATATTTGCATTAAACAGGACAAATAATTGCCACGTTAATGCTAAAAAATGTAGCCAGGTGCATACTTTCCCAAAGCTAACCAGCTAACTAAGGCATATTAGCTACAGGGGCCCGTCTCTGCTGTCCCCGTTTCACCAAACAAAGGCTTTGAATGCCACAATAGCACCCACACATCTCAAATATGATACAGCGGGTAGCATTTGCGGGTAAGATGTTAACAATATGCACAGATTCTGAAGAGTTGAACATACAAATCGATAGATGGGCTCGCTCCTGGCTGCGCGCTTGGTTACTGCGCTCCAGTCCAGTCTGTGGCTAAACGCAGAGATGCACCTGCTTTATTCTGGGCGCTGGTGCTGTAGCAGGCAAAAAAACATTGTAATACTCTTTTGTACAAAACAGAGTTTTGAGTATAACCCGATGCTACTGTGCATATAAGGCCTGTGGTTTAAAATGCACAGAACGTCATTTGCGCAAGAAAGATTTTTTCACGCGTCGAAGCCAAATATGAGGAAAAGGATTGAACACTGATAGCACATAATGTGGCTAACCAATAAGCTAACGATAAGAGATGGTGACGGTGACAAATACAGCTGGCTAGTAGGACTGTCAGAAGATGGATGACCTGTACATTTTCCCAACATGACGCGAATCCAGACATGAAGGAAGAGGTATTTCTCAGGCACACATACACGCACACGGGCAGCACCCAAAACTCAAGCTGACCTTGTTAGCGAGCTAATGTTAGCTAATGAATCCTCTTCTGCCCAGAGCCGAGGAGCAGCGCCGCGGAGACCGAAAAAATGCCATCAAACATCCACTTCTCCGAAACCGAGACAGACACGCCGGAAAAGAAGCCCCCGCGGCCGCTCCTGTGTCCGTGGATGGCGCTGGTTTGATGGTTTGGTTACTTCACGGAGGAGTATAGCGCCGCTGTGCACCCCTCCCTGACTGTCCTCCCAGCAGACAGGTCCACAGGTTGAGACCAATCATACAGCAGCTAACTCCGCCTACACACTCTTCATAATGTTATCTATTGTATTGTATTAAATGTGCTATTACATATTTGCCTTAAAGATCCCATAACTTAAAGATCCCATATTACGCACAATTCACTCTTGTGAGTTTTAAGATATGTTATAGGCTAATGTTGTTACCTCCTCAAAAACATAGGCAGATCTGTGGTTGTGTTTTGTTTCATTCACAAATACTACAGCAATCCATTTTTATTAGTCTGTCTACATCTCCACCTTGTGATGTCATGCAGTTGTAATTTTCAAGTTAACAGCTAATTTTTACCTTTTGTTCAGTAGAGATGGGCAATTCCAGATCTGAAATAATCCAAATGATTTTATTGACGGTGTATGGAGTTCAAAAGGGGTGGGACAAAGGTGGGGTATACGTGGGGTGCATTGGGGGGTCAGAAGGTCTCAGGTGGATGTAACGCAATAGCTGTCAATCACAGTGAAGGTGAGAGAGACTAAAGGGGAAATCCAGGTATGAGTCAGAGGCTGAGGATTCTCATGAACTGGGTTTATAGACACATGAGTCAAGCAAAGCATCTGCTGTGACAGAACAGTTGCTCTACAATGAACTCTACACTGGACATAAATAAAACAAAAAAATATAAGAAAGTCTGCACAATATAGACTAAAATTATGATTTCTGATAACAATAGTATAACAGTAATCAAAAGGTATTTTAAAAATCGACAGAGCTATGCTAAAATTTAATTATATCTGACAAAAATGATAGGACTGCATGTATTTATATATATGTTTATCTTCAAAATAGCATTCAAAATATTATCAATAACTCAATATAATGCCCACCTTTAAAATTAAGTAAATTTTTGGCTGGCACTACATGTAGCCATTGTGTCCTTGGGCAAATTTAAAAACACAGTGGAGCATTTCGTGTATCACCACATGGCGTCACAAGGAGGAACAGAGTCTTTTCAGTTTGAGAAAAAAACTCAGCAACTCATATACACAGGGTTTGTGTGTTAAACGTGTGAATGAAATAAAACACAACTCCAGCTATATTTTTATGAGGAAACAACATTATCACATAGATAAGAAAATAGCTTAATATGAGCCCTTTAAAACACTGTAGAGTATTTGCTGAGATGCAGTCACAAAGCCATGCATGTGAGGTTCTTTGGAGAGTTAGACTCAGTTAATTGGAAAACAAACCACAAAATATTACTGTGATGTCAAATTCAACCATAGTTTAACCTACAGCTATGAATTTGCCTTGAGTCATAGCTAGTCACAGTCCAAAGGTTATTATAACTGGAGTTGTTTTGACACGCAATAAGGTATGCAAATATTTATCATATTACCTAAGCCACTTTGAAACTGAACAGATTAAAAACTGGCCTACTTATTTAAATCTTTGTAGTCACCTTTTATAGGATACATAATAAGCATAACATTTATTACCTGAATATTAGACCTAAATATATGCATTGGTGGATAGGCCCATGTGTTCACTGAAGCTGGTCGCCTATAGCTGTGGCTTAATTGGCATCAATGTGTCTGTCAATAAAGTTTTTTTTTTTTTTTTTTTTTTTTTTTTTTTAATGATAGTCAAAAGGCAAATAGTTCATTCTGATTTCCAGCATTTCAGACTTTCAAAACAACATATTTTCCAGTTGTGAAAAGAGCCATACAAGTATAAAAATAAACAATGTTGCTAAAACCATTAAAGAACTGACTGAATAGAAAATAGCCTTTGTGGCTCATTTTGTCAAACTTGTTGTCTTATAGCCTATTTCAAATATCTTTCAGGAAATGCTCTGTGGTTTATGTGGCCCCATCATCGTACATTATCATAAATCGCATTAAAATCTTAGCCGCATAAGATCAACAGTCAACAGCGAGTCAAACAGCGCCCTTGTATACAGTTCTAATAAAAATCCTGGCAGAGAGATTAGGTTTTGACTGAGATGGTGCAACAGAGCCTGCCTCCAACAGTTCATAGAGCTGTCAATCATCTCAATCCATGTGACTCTTTGTTCACCTCGGCAACCGAACTTGTAGGGAAGGAGTAGCAGATTGTAGGGTAGAAATATGTTATAACAACTGCCACAAATCACAAATAAGGCAACTGAAATCTCTCATCTGGGCAAATACACTAATCAGGAATAACACTACTGCTTATTATTTGCCTATACCCAACAAACTTTTTTGACACTACACATCATCTCTACAGATTAATTTCAGAAAGTCAAACCCATGAGATAGATTCATGACACACAGAGTGAAGTTTTCAAGCATTTATTTCTTGAAATTTTGATTATAGTTTACAGATCATGAAAATCCAAAATTCAGTGTCTCAGAAAATTCGATTATATAAAAAAAGAAGGTTCGGTCTGTATATCAGAGGCCTAAGCCAATTTTGAAGCTATAATGTTCACTTGCTCCCTTATATACAACCCATATCAAGTGTTTTGTCTAAATACATAAATAGTTGTTCACTTTCTTTGTCAGTGGCTATAATGTTGTGGCTGATCATTTGATATTGAAGTTTTTCTGGCCAGAGGGAAACTAACCCCAAATGAATGCAGATTTTTTTTCCTCCAGTTCTCATTTTTCCGAAAGACTCAAACCCAAAACACCTCCAGCTCCACTAGACCATGATAGCAGACAGCAGAGGGGCTTTCATGTGATTGCTCGTATCAATTTGAGTTTTGATGTGTGAGCACTGAGCAACAAAGAGAGCGGATTAGGAATCAGCTGACTCCCTGCATTTTCTTCCAACTGACTTAAGGGCTACTCTGAGCACCACAGTCGGACCTAAACAGGCAGAGCGAGACGACCTAAATGGCGCAATACTTTCTTTCTCAGCTTGGCCTAAATGGAGTTCAAATGTTTGTGGACGACTACTGAGCTCACACAAAAGGCTGATGCAGATGTTTTGAAGGCCATAACTGTGGGCTAGTCTGAAGTAAAAAATTTGAGTAGACAGGATTTTTTGGGCTTTATTTCTGACAGATTTTATTTGAGTTTTTATGCTTGTATAAGGTGCATTATGTAACTTTTCCAGTAGAGCTTATCTGTTTTGTATTTGTTTAATTACTCAAGATGTTATTGCTCAAGAATACCTCAAAAACATGTTTTTTTTTTGTGTGCCCAGGGTCACCTCTCCACAAATCTTAAGAAAATAATATAATAGAAGATATAATTAATTGCAATAACATCTCCATAGAGAAAAGCAGGTGGTGGACCAGAAAATGGACTCTTTTGAGCTTTTAGCCATGTTATAATGTTGTTACCTCATTCAAAACATACCTGGAGTTGTGTCTTGTTTCTTTCACACATGTTTGAGTAACCCTATTATTAGTCTGTCTACATCTTCAAAGCTCAAAATGCTCTGCTCCACTTTGTCATGTCATGTAGTGGTAGTTTTGAACTTAACAACTATTTTATCTTTAGTCCAGTAGAATTTGACAATTCCAGGTCTGAAATGATCAAAATGATTTTAGTGAAGATGTATCTATGAGTTTAAAAACAGTGGAGCATGTCCTATAAAGGGGGAAAATTGCATTAAAGTGTGAATGAAACAAAATACAGCTTCATGTTTTTGATCAGGATGCAACATTACAAGATATCACATTCTAAGGTACTACAAAAGAGCTAATAGAGGTCCTAAAGTTGTAGTATTTGTATAAATTAAGCAAAATGAACAACACACCGCCAGTGAGTATGAAAACGCTTTGCAATACTGTGCAGCTGCTGTTGCATACAATCCATATTCACAGCTGATGTGATTACAGCAGTTTAATTATATTTAGTCTCAAAGGTTGATTGTGTTTCAGAAGACGGTGCCAGAAAAAAAGTGAATTACCTTCAAAAGTTAAGAGTAAATATAGTTTTGCATCCATATCTTTTCATTTTTATCGCTTAGTCTTAAACATAATGCATAAAGAAGTGGACTAAGGGAGTGTGACGTCAACCTTCAGTCAAATTACGTTCACGGACAAAATAGCAAAATAAAAACATTAGGCTCAAGTTGAGTGGGTTAATATAAACAATTTAAAAACAAAATCACAAGGCTCACTGGTGCAGTTACAGAGAGAGGCCACTTATTTCAATGTAAATTAAAATTCACGGACAAAATAGCAAAATAAAAACATTAGGATCAAATAGAGCGGGTTAATACAAACATTTTAAAACCAAAATGATGAGGCTCACTGCAGCAATTACAGAGAGAAGCCTTTTGTTTCAATGTAAATTCAAATGGAGCTAAAGTTGATGGAGCCGGAAGTGCCCCCATACGCACTTCCTATTTGGAATGCGACAGCTAGCGGGTTATCTATCTCCAATTATATTTACAGTCTATGGTACAGACTGAATAACTTCTGGAGTTAGTGCTGTGCAGTGTCCTTATGTTACAATACCATGCCTAAATAATTGACAAAATAGCTCAAGAAGGGCATCCAATGTAATCTCTGACTAACCTGAGGATTTGAAATTTTGAAATAGTGAACACCAGACTGAAAGCAGATGATATTGCATAATGAAATCACCTTCTAAGACCTCAAAGACTATTACATTGGTCATTAGCGATCTTGTACATTTCAGAAACAGTTCAAGACAGTGCATTAACGCAGAAACAGACACCAAGTGAATGTGGGAGATCCAAATGTCCTCAGTGACTGCAGTAATAGTTTCCTTATCAGCGACAAACAAGCCTAATGACTTTGAGACACATCAGAAAAACATCAGCCAATAAAGAGCGCACTAATGTCCTGACCACAGAATGACCCCAGGAAACACAGGAAAATCAAATCAGAACTGACACAATGCACTCATAAATGTACACTGCCGATGTGAGCAGTTATGTCTGAAACTGCCAATCCAATACAGCAGAGTTGTACAATGTAACTTCATGGCCTCGTCAGCTCCAGGAAGCACTTAGGGACGAGCATTAAAATCTGACATGTGGTTGTGATTTGTCTTAATTTTATTGGTAGTATTTTG